AATGGAAGGACTGTACAGCAGTACTTCTAAAACCATCCTTTGAACACGCCTATTCTGTATAGGATACTCCCCCGAATCTTAAAAGCCAAATCCAAAAGTTTTCCATTTGGAATATTACTCGTCCAACCAACTTTCCAAATGAATTTCATTTTCAGATATTTCATCCGATAATGAAAGAACAGTTAAGAGAATAAAAAGAAAACGCTGTCAGAAACCATTCTGCGCAAATTACACCACAAGAAAGGTTGAAGCTGGAAGGTCAAAGAAAGGCTGCAGTGTGCTCTCTGAAAGAAGGGCTTCATTCTTCAGCCAGGAGCCCTGCTTTCTGTGGGTGGTGATGAGGTTAGAGGGCTATGGGGTTAATGAACATTCAACCGCAACACAGAATTATCGCAGGTCTCCATAATTATAACCGGTACTATAACACATCTCAAGTAGCCCTGCTTCCCGTTCAAATCATGGCACACTCACGTTCATTAATGTTTTCTAAATGCTTCTGTCACAGATGGTAATCATTTTGAAGATCGTTTACAATCCTGACACCCTGATTTACTGGCACTCTACGAAACAGAACGATTAACTACATTACTCACCATTTTTTAGATCTTTCCCACAGTAAATTGTTCCCAACCTGTATTGGCAGAAGCAAAAATGTGTTGGACAACAGGTAATTAGAAATTCTTGCTGAATACTAATTCTATTTTTTTTCTCTTCTGACCCTCTCACTTAGTTCACGTACCGAATGAGTCTGCCCATGATTGTTACTGCTTGTTTACACAATACTGTTTTTCGGTATTTTCAAGTGAGTGGAATTAATGAGCAATGGACTTCATTTTAGAATAAAACAGTTACAGACCATTACTGTTTTTGCTTTTGACATAACATCACAAGCTCAGAATTACTAGAGCACCACTTTCTAACATAACTTGGGTGTCCTGACTGTAGAACACTGGTGTATGAAGGTTTTCACTTCTGTATTTCCTTCAATGTCTTGGTTGATGGACGGCAGACTCAAAAGCTCCAAAAAAATCCCATGTGAGACACACCCTCTTATAAGCACAGACTAAATGGTCAGGGCTCTTGACTTTCACCATACTTCAGTATACAGTGGCTGACTAAGCGTGTGGCTTGACCATACTGAGACCACCCTCTCACACCTCTGTCAAATTGCAAACCTCCAGCTTGGTGCCTTTTCCAGAAATTCACATGCACATTAACCAACTGAAATGTAAACAAGTACTACGCCCATTAGAGTCCTATTCAGACTGCACTGCGAGCACATGAAAAGAAATGTAGGCAATTGCAAATGTGTGCTGTTAGCAAAAGTGCTGACTAATAAAGCTGAACCGAAATCATAATGACTAGGGCAGCTCCATAAGGACTTTTAGCCCACTTTGTGCAATAAAGTTAAGAAATATCCATTAAAATCCCAAGGCTGCATGAATTTTGTTCATAATTGCATAATGTGCTTGCACAGCAAGATAGCCATCAGCAATGTTCAAACATTGACTAACTGTACATAAATACTTGAAACAAAAATAAAGAAAAAGTTTATGCTTGACCAATGCACAGATGGCTTGAACAAATTAGTCACAAAGGAATGGATTATCTGCATAATGAAAGCCTCCAATGAAACAAATAAATCTTGATTGGCGGCACATTCAGTTTCTAAATATTTACGGTAAATTTACTCAAAAAATATTTTTGTTTTTGAACAGAACGTGCCAGATTCGAAAACGTACAAACACGTACAAAAATGCATTTACACTACGGGAAAACTGTTGTATAATCAACATTTTGTTTTATTAGTGTGCACGCGAATCTTTGGAGCCTCATTTTAAATCCAAGGTTTTGGAAAAGACAGAACACAGCGTCGAGCTCTGGTTGTTAATGATATTATTGTGGAAACTGTGCTTTACAAGTCATTACAAAACCTTAGCTTTGACACTTCACCTTCGTACCTCTCCTAAAATAGTTTTTCAAACAAGTGTCTGTTCCTTCTAAAAGTGTCTGGGAATGTAAATACATGACGTTAGAGGAGTTCAATGCCACTGCTCTGTTATTTTATCAAATTGAATCCTTTCCATTTGTCTTCCAGACCCTGCCAGTAAACCACAGTGCCCTCCTACCTTAACAGCTGACTTTAGCTCTCAATTTTCTTTCAAAACATTTACAGAATTTGTATTTAATTAAGATTAAATGTGTCAGGAGATTCACCAATTGTTTAGTCTAGCAGAGAATCAATCATGGAAAATAAAAAAAGAAAAATGACTAGTCCTCCCTTTCTTTTGATAAAGAGACCATACCAACTTAGATAATTCAAATTCAGTTCATCCACCAGATGATAGAAGAAAATCCTCAAGCATCCATGATAAAATTGCACCTTTGAGTACAAAATTCCTATATTATTAAACATATATTAAATATTATATTAAATTCTTCAAATACAGCTATTGTGTTAATCTTCAAACTGACTTTTCTGTAATATGTTCCATATTAAATTAAGTATTTGGTGTAGCTAAAGGGGTGTCACAATGAGACGTATCCGAGGATGTTAATATAAGTGATTTATCACTGTGTTGGACTGAACCAGCTCAGAAACAACCTGGTTGTCCATGTTCCATTACTCTAAAGTTTCAGTGCACACAAACAGAATTAACCGTCTGTCTTTCAATACTCATTAATATACTCCACAGTTATGCCTGTCCTGACAAGTCATTTTTTTAAGACCACCATTTGTACAAAACCTAGACATTCCTGAAATGTCCAATTAAAGACTGATACAGAATAAAGAATCAGATTAAACCGACTCCATCTGTTTTTTAGAAATTTTAGTTTAAGAAACATTGTGTGTGTTTCTCTTACTTTTCTTATCAGTTTTTTTGGCAGTAACTTCATAACACACTTTCAATGAGCAGAAGTTCTTTTTAGTTGTCTGCTGACATTTATTCGAATAACAAAAACAAGTCAAACGCTGCTTGATCTGATGGAGCTTTTTATTACAGAATTCACCTGAAATAAATAAATCCCCACATGCAATTTAGAGGTTCTCCTAACATCTGCTGCATACTGAAAAACCAGCAACTTCTATTTTTCCTTTCAAACAATATCCCCACAGAGCAAATGGATCTGTTCCAGAGGTCAGCGTCTCTAGCAACCTGACCTCAGGTTGTTTTATCTGACCCTAATGTTTATATATCATTAATAAAAAATGAGTATCAAAACAAGGAATGCATACATTGGTGCAAGGCAACATTTGAATAACTCAGTTCTGCCGTCTTCTGAACTCTGAAAATAGAAAGAAAAGAAAAGCAAGCAGCACTCTAACTGAACTGTGTCATGACCGCCCAGTCATGGACTGGAGTTTTCTTTTGAGCGCACAGTCTTCCTGCTAGTGAGACCTCCCAATATCTGTGCAAAAAAGTTATTTCTCCATGCATCATGGGAATAAATGTCCTAACTTCAGGGAACTTTACTGTTTCATGTCGACTGTGATGTGAAAGCTGCATTTATTGCTAAAAGAGATAGATGCTTATTTTGCATTTCAAATTTCTCAGAAACATATAATTAATCTTAATTTAATTTAAGAAATTTGGGAAATCTGTCAATACACAATACTAAATACCATCTGTATCTGACAATACCGTACTACTAGTTTATAGTCACAATTTATCTTCACAAAGAAAAATAGTAAATCTCAAGAAACAAAAAATCTTTTGCTGAAACTTAATATGATAAATTCCTCCTGGGGCATTATACAGTAACTCACAGGTAGCAAAAAGTATATTCTATATATACAGTACTCATTTAGAGTATAACAGTGATTCACATATTGACCGATCACACAGATCATTCCAACACTCGCCTCCACATAACCTTTAATTTGGTTGCTTAGCAATGGAAAGAAATGAATCTTTTAGTTGAGAAGCATTAGCAAATCAAAAAGGCATTACTCAGCTTGGTGTGGGAGATGTTGTCTGCCATTCCATTTCAGAAAAACATCAGATGTTACTTCTGACAAGCTTAAGAAGGAAAATAACTGGGAATGTGGAACGCTGACATCTGAACTCTAAAGCTGTTTGTATCAGAAAGGCCTCGTGATAATACTGCAGAGATCCACTCTCCCTCCCCACCCGGCCTCAGACTGTCTCCCCTGTCCTGCTCCATGACCAGCGTGCCCCACTATTAAGAAAAGGACAACAATACTGTCATTGAGCCCGTAAAGTTGTCTCTGCCTGTCACTCCCTCCATATCACACAGCCGAACTGGAAGAGTTACAATATTCTGTAACTGAACCAAAATGCAGAATTTCTTGCATTTTGCAGAGCACTTTAATCCCAAAACATGCCAAAGTCCTTCACCTATAACAGGGGACCTACTTCGTCCACCACTGAAGTGCATTCCACCACCTGACTGACATGCTGCAAACTTTCTGGTGTCTACCTTAATATCTTACATATTTTGCCTTGGAAACTTTAATGACCAAGCAGTCCTGTCCATCGTTTAGCATATTAGCCTGAGAGATAGCAGCTCCCAAGCCTATATACAGGGGCACTGGTTTGGAAATTGTAGTCCAGAGGTACTGTACACCACACCACTTACAGAAGCAACTGGGTTTTCCTTCAAAGACTTCTGTCCCAGTACTAACTTAGCACAATCTTGCTAAGCTTCCAAGATCTGATGAGAGCATGGTGGTCACTTGATATTTTTGAAAAACACATCGGCTACAGGGAAATACCAGTGCGCCAGACTTTCAGCATGGCTAAAGCATATTTTTAAGAAATTTCGACCACCATTCCATTCCATTAAAACTCTGACCTCTTGCACTGAATAAACTGAACAACATGGACTGTGTTTTTCAGAATTCATTCCTTTTATTCAAAGTTTATTCCTTAGGAGCGTCAAGAACAGTCTGTGTTTGCTATGCAGCTGCAGTGTGTGAAGAGAAACTCCCCTTGAGAATGTTTATATTGCTCAACAGATGATAGATGTTTTGAGTTCTACCCTCCGTGATCACGCTGGTGGGAAAAACAGACGGCTGAGGGCCTCCATTGATACCAGCGCAGCTACAACAGCAAACAAGTTTTTTGCTCTGTTTTCAGTGGCCATTAAGTTTTCACGAAGCACAAAAGCATCTGTATCAAAGCAAAAAAATATAGAAAGAAAAATCTATCTCCGGAAGCCAGCATAATGAGAACAGTTCACTCTGACAACTCTCATTACAGTGTTTGATTTATAATGCTGACGGCTTGAGATGAAATGTTTCTCCACCAAACTGGAAAAAAAAATCAAGTGTCATGTATCAGGTGCATTAGAACCAATTATCTATTAACCCATTATGTAAAGGGAGGCTCCTGTTTCCAGATAACCCCAATGCTAATTCCTTTCAGTATGATGTATTCAGTTTGCCCATGCCAAAATCCTTTGCACATGTAAAGACAATTACACCTAATTTCACCCCAAATTGCTTCCTGTAATGAAGAGTGGACATCATTAAGAAACATTCTCCATTTCCCAAACAAAAAAGGACTTAAGTATCATTTCCAAGTGAACAGAAGTTTCAGAAAATTCCTGGCAAGTTCCAACTCATAAAATCATTAGACCCACACAGATATAACTTCAAAAAAAGATGGGTATCCCACCAGCCTTATAAGGCTACATACAACAGGGGGTTGGGCCTTCAACACTGCCAAGAACCCTTTTTGCAAAGCAAGGCGATGTGTAATGCGAGTGTAATGCAGTACATCGGGTTTCATAGGGTATGTGATGTTAAACAATGAGGCCAAGCTTTTAAAGAGTTCAAAGGAGAACCAATGAATGCTAGAATATCAGGTGCAGGCAGGGCTAGTTCTTCTGCTTTTGAAATGAATCCCTGGAAGCAGTGAAGTAAGGAATCACAAAATACGACTATACAGACACAGTTGGTATGGGACAAACAGGGCTGTCTGCACATGCAGCTGAAGTCTGCGTGATCATGACCACTGTATTCACGTGCAATACCTGCACTGCACCACGTGACTGCAACAGAGTGGCCTTTTCCTGACACGTGCAATGCACTGGGAACACTCACCTCAGTTTGCAGAATGGCAGCTCGCTGTTCTTTGGCAGTAAGAGACTCTTTGAGCACCTCGATGTGTTGCTTGCAGTCGGAGTTTTGATTGGTCAGCGTCTCAAGCTTGGTTTGTAAGGCAAGGAGTTCGGACTCTTTCTTTGACAGCTCCTGCTTTAGCTGATCGATCTAAACACAAAGGACAAGAGAAGAAACGGAAAAGACCAACTTCACTGTAATATCAATTTCAAAGCAGTATGGCCTGTTGAAAGTGTGTTCCTCTTCTGCACTTGTGAAGGAATAACGCACACTTCAGGACCCTTCTTTCATATTCTGTGTTCCAGACAGTGATCGTCCAGTGCGACCAAAACCATTGCCTTTCTCAAAACACTGTTCATACAGTATATCCAATGCTGACTACCAATTATAAAATCCCAACATGGGGCTCCTGGTTGTCTCAAGCTAGGAAAGTCATTTGCTCACAAAGCAAGTCGAGCTCTGTGGTACAGACATGGGTGGTTCAATCCTTAGCCTTGGCACTAACCAGGACAGGGTGCAGGGTGTAAGTCTTCAGGCAGAATTGTCTGTTATTAAGGAAACACCACCATCTAAGACCCGTCTGGAGTCAGTAGGCTGGCAGTGATGTCAGAAAGGGATGCCCCACTCCTCCAATCAGTGGTGATGGCTCCTGTCAGACACTGCGGAGCTCACATGATTTGTCAGGTGAGGAACAGCTCTGATGGGTGGGCATGTTTGCAGGTACTCATTCTCCTTGCGTATTATGGGAGTTAGCAACTCCAAACTGGACCCATCTTTCTTAGTGTCTTTCACCACTCTATAATCAAATGAACCTCTCGCGTGCCTCAGATGTCAACACAGGCACACATATTCCAGTGTCAGAGGTCACTAATAAAGAGTCATCTTAAATGGCCCCATACATTCCTCTTCATGTATTAAATGCTGCATAAAAAACCAATTAGACAACCACTCAATCACTCAGTAAAAACAATGTAATTCAAATATATGGAGGAGTAGGTAAAAGAACTACATCAGTTAGTATGTACTTGATTAAAACAAAATATACGCCCCAAAACTTAATGGAACTTTGTTGAGTGTGTTCTTTTCAAAATGTCTTAAGACAAAACATGTCTTAACAGCAGCCCATGAAATGCCTTAACATATTCAATAGATGCACTAACAATGTGGTTTTTGAAAAAGGTGCTTCTGATATTTCTGATAAGGGCTTTGGCAAATATACGGGACCTCACAGTAGACTCCTAGGACCCATGGCAAAAGTGTGGTGTGCAATTTGCTTTCAAGAGCTTGTAACCAACACATTATACAGATCGAGATCTGCAAAAAATGAGATACAAGAAGGGTACACCTTGGTCTTGTTTTTAACACTGACTCACACGTTAAGAACGGTTACAAATGAGAGTGGAGTTTCAGGTTCGGGTTATGAGGTTCTTGTCCAGCTGTTTCTGCTCTGAAGAGTTCATAAGCCCTTGTAGCTTCTGTGGAGAATGTTACCAAACATGCTCAGTAAGAGTTCCAGCTCAGCTTGTTTCTGAATGGGCTTTTGAAACCTGAACAAGAAGCCAGGCAGAGCTGTCTCAATGCCCGGCACACAGGCAAAACATTTTGAAGACTCTAAACTATAAAATATACTGTATTTCTTTGACAATAACACAATTTCACTGGACATTCAGATGGCATGATAAAAATACTGGCTTTACATTCTGACTTTGCACTTCCTGGTTTTAATTCCATTCATGAAGCAAGGCCTGAGGGATATTTTGAGGACTGTGGGCTGTATGCCACAGTACCTGTGTCATAAGATTGTCCACACTGGACAGTACCACCTATTCCTCATTTCTAAAAAGACTTGTAATGTATTTACCCAGTAGTTCTGCTGTATCTCACACACCTGGTGTTTTTATTTTTAGCTCACAGTGAATACGTTTCAGCGGGACTGCAGGAAGAAAGGTGAAATAAATCACACAACCCAAGTGCCATCTTTCGAAAAGACGGAATTCATTTTTTCAGTGCTCAATTTTCCAGCTGACGGAGTCTGAAATTTGGACATGTCAACATGTCCTGTTCTTCCACGCTGTGTGGGCACTGCAGCTCGGGGAACTTGAAGGTTTCCTTTGTGCAATGATTTGAAATACAGAGGGCAAATTAATACCCTCTTTCCACAGACTATTATTTTGGTTTGTATTTCACTCTTAATTAAATAAAGTCTGACTGTTTGCATGTAATCCTACAGATAGGCACAATCCACAAGCCTTTCAAAAGGGTTACAGTAGAAGCGCATGTAGCCCGACCAATGTTTTTGTAAAAATTCCTCCCATACTTTTGGCTCAATGCCATCTCCTCATCCCCTGGGCATTGAGTCAGCAGAATGGGGTAATTAAGACCTAGGTAAACGCCATATTCTGCCATGAAAAACAAACAATATTGATGTAGAAAGAACAATGTCACCTCCTGCCTTTACTACAGTAGCACATTGTTTTAGATATGAAATCACAAGGCACAAATACAATGTGCCATTATCAGGCAAACAAAAACATAACCTCAAGCTTTAAAAAAAAATGCAGGTGGCTTATAGAATCCCAGAAGTGCTTTCCTATAATAAATAATGCATCTGTCATAGCAGGCTGTCATGCAATTTCTACTGAAATATGCATCAGGTCTACATACAATTAATGAAAAGTCTCTAACAAAAAATCCTCTTTGTTCTCTCATAACATGACATATCAAAGTTTGGTAATTAACAAACAGAAACACACAAAAGCCTCTTTTCTTATACATGGTGCACATAAGTGTTCATTTCAAAGGTCAACAGTCTGTCTGATGTGCTGAGAAGGATTATAGCACCCAAAGCTGTTGCTAATGAAAAGCCCATTGTCGGGGGGGAAAGTAACCCCCTCGCTCTTATCAGCATGACCTTTCTTCTAAAAATCAGTGGATTTCCCTTTGATTTATCAGAGTCCTTAAACCAGCAACGCCTGGTGCTGAAAGACAGACTGAAGGGGATCCAGCTGATGACAGAATAATAAATACCATTTAAACCCAGGTATGACAAATGGAAGAGCTGTCAATTCTCCTGAGTATATTACAGGCAGGCAGTTGTCCTGAATCTCACTTCACAAAAAGCCGTCAGATTTGAAGAACAAAAAAGGCTTACCCACCACATCACCAACACATGAGAGAAAACAACAATGTAAGCAAATCAGCATTTTAATGTGGTTAGACCCCTCAATAACTAAAGGAAAAAGGAGATCAGTTGTCCTCATTAACCCTACAGAATTTAAGCCTTGAGAGCTTATAAATGCTAATTCATAAATTAACAACATACTAGGGTAGTGAAATATAATATTAAGATTATAAAGAGGCCATTTCCTGATTAATAAAGGTCACTTGACAGAGCCTGGTGTAAACTGATACTCGTTTGTGAATGCCATCTGTTTCTGTAGCTGTAATGCCCCACTACAATGTTTATTCAAAGTGTACATAGAGACAAACTGTAATACAATATAGGTACCAAGTTATAAATTAGTAATGTACTTTAAAATGTTATATTCATACAGTATAACTGATAATGTCTATATACAGCACAAACAAAATGTTCGTATAATATTTTATACACACAGAATAGTGTAGTATACTATATTTTTGGCGTACAGTATACACCAAAAATCTGAGAGAGAAAACAATCTGCAATATTATTCTTCACTGTTTTAAACTATTTTGTTTTTAGCCATCAGAAAAACATACAGTCATCCTTCCATGCAGGAATCACATTTGCTAAAAGATACAGTACCTTATTTTTCATAAACTTTGAATGGCTTTTGTAGACCTCCATCTGTTTAATCTCTTCCTCCCTGTCCTCTGTATTCAGTAAGCCATTTGTCTTCAGCATCTGGATTTCATCCTCAAGGTCCCTTATATTTCTTTCGAGTGAAGCAATTTTGGTGTCCTGTGTGAGAAACGCAACAGAATTAGCAAGAAAAAGCCGCCATAGGATGGACAGCCCCACAACCAGCAAAAGACTTCTGAAGAAACAGTATTTCAATTCTCAAACAGTACGATTTCGCTTCTCCTGTCCTCAACTGTTAATCCATGTCCAAGTGAATTCAGGTGCTAGACGTGAAATGAACTTAGTCGAATACCTTTGAATAACCAAAGATGTTGCAGACCATAACATTCCCCAACATTTGCCAAAACGACCTCTTTGAAAGCAACATGGCTTCTAATTTAAGTAAGGCATGTTGCAAGAACCAATCAACAGGTAAGTAAAAGCGATTAAGACGTGTCTCCTTCAGTCTGGATTCAAAATAATGGAATTACTGTACCATCACACTGCACCTTCGAGGTCCACTGCTATAAAGGCTTCGGAAATAAATGGCAACGCCTAGCAGGCTTTTCTTCCAAGCGCTCGGAGAAAAATCTATCTAGACTCTAACTCTGAGTGCAGCTTGCATCCTAGCTTTTTAAATAAATAATATTATGTCTTTCAAATTAAATATGGTTCATCTCTCACTCATGCAGAGCATACGCTGAGAACGTTCTTTTTTTTTATACAGTGTCTGTGTGCTCATATACTGTACAACATACAGTAAGGACGCTACAGACCTGATGCAATTATAGCATTAATTATAAATGTGTTAATGCACATTATCTCTACAGTGCTGCCCTTTTTAAAACGGTCTAGGAAAATAATTGTCTTTATAGAATTCTCCCCATTCTCTCACATTTTTTTAATACAAGCTGAACTAAGTGAAAACGTTCCCTGCATTTTTGTTTTCTCCAATGTGTCAGAGGAGTCAAGCCCAGTTTCATCTACTTTTTAAGCAAGACCTGTCTGGGAAGGTAGCATGAAGCGAAATATTGGCTCCACGTGCCTCTGACAGCATTTGTTAAGGCCACCGAGGATGCTGAGATAGTGTAGACATCTCATGGAAATGAAACCTGTTTCCTACTTCTGGCAGGTCTTTTCTAAGGTTAAGATCCCTTACACCACAGGGAAAAAACAAAGCAATTGTTCCCGGTGCATAATTAATGCAGGTCCTCTCAACAGAATTCATTTTCGAAAAACGAAAACCAGATACCTTTTTACAGGTGAATAATTTTCAAAAGGTTGCGTAACCAGGCTATAATCATCTCCAGGAAGAGGTTTCAAAAGAAAGATGAAAGGTTATGAACTGCGAGGCAATTTGGCTCAATTCAAAATTAAAGCATTTTCTCCTGTTGCGAACAAAACCAGGCCACAAAGGACCCGGTCATTAAAAGTTAGAATTGGGTACATTGCATTTTGACATACAAATAAAAATGTTCACATGTGCTTATACTGTATATGAAAACATATATTAATACTGAAAGGGAGTTCTGTTGTTCTTGTCCCATATTATGATACTGTAGGTTATCTTCAAGTTATCGTCCTCTTCTGGGTTTGCTTGGAGAGATTCAGTTTCATTTAATATTTTCAGACCAATGTTCCCTCAGCTACAGGTCTCTACATCCGAAACGTTTCGAGGTAGATTCTAGTGATGGACCAATTCTTAATGTGGATTAATGAACATTTTTACCCATTCATACTACTGGGTAGGGCCCCGGCTAGCTCTGTTGGTAGAGCATGAGACTCATAATCTCAAGGTAGTGGGTTTGTGTCCCATGGCGGGGGGGCCGTAGAAAAACAAATGTTACGGTAACAGCAACAGGATGTTGCTGCCCCTAAGTGCCAGAAAGCATAACGGGCAAGCATCCATCCATCCATACGACTGGTGTCACGCCTTCTACAGCTAGAGGGCGCTCCTACTCTGTCCTGTCCCTAGTTCCCTGTACTTTGCTTGTCCTTCTGGTGTCTTTCTCTCTCTGGGGCTATAAATTTCCGGGTCACGCTGTCCTGAGACCCGCCTAGCACCAGGTCGCCCCACAGCCGCGGCTTGAGGGCATAGGTTTCTATACGGGATTTCCTGAACAGCTAAGCCCAGGCTAACCCCTGTTCCGCTGGTACGCATAGGGTCTTTTTCCGGTCTCCTGCCATTCCACGGTTTGAGCTGTGACAATTGGGTATTCCACCCTGGAACAAGCTGTTTTAAGTGCCTTGTTTAAAAGTACAAGAGCAGTGCAATACCCAGGATATGACACGTTGAGAGATCTTCCCAGGTCTCCACACTCCTCCCTTCTGTAAGCTGTGCCAAACTGTGACCTCTTATCAGGAGTCACGGGGACCTCTGTGATTTGCCAGGTACCCACAGGCCCACAGTGACATCAGTGAGGGACATGCTTCTCCTCCAATGGGTGCTAACCCTCATGTCAGGCTCTGTGGAGCTCACAGTGTGTCAAATGGCGAGTGGTTGTGCAAGGAGGCTGGAAAAGCACCGAGCACGTGTCTCAAATCTACATCTGAAACAACAAGAGCTGGACTTCCAAGTCTTAAAACCATTGGGTGGAATATAATAATAAATACTCATCATCTCTTCCAAATTTAATAAAACAACCTCTGCATTTCCTGTCATTCACAATTGTTGAATCAGTTGCCTCCATATTCTGAAAAAGCTATTCCTCCTACATTTCCACGACTGAAAAACCACTGACTACCTCAGACTCCTCACCAAGAACGCCTGCCAGCTCTTAGAAGATGTGGAAAGACATACGACAAAAAAAAACATGAAGAATTTCATATGCTGTTTCTTCGAAGAAAATTGTTTTTTTGAGGTCAGCTTGGGGGCCAATTCCATAAAAACCGTCAGAAGTTAACCTTTCATCTCATTTAACTTGAAACATCACTACCAGAGTTCCCAGATAATAAGGGATTTGGCCTGAGAAGCCCTGATGATCTGAAAGAAAACCTCCCCCAGAAACCCTTGAGGAAGAAAAGAAAAGTGACAATTTCACATAATCATGTTGAGAGACTAGGGACTCAAACAACAAAGAACTTTCCTCTCAATGGCATCTTTAGTCATGTCCTGATCTAATGTCCATTTTACAGTGCACTTGAGTCGCTACCACCATTAATAAAAATCCAAATGTCATTTTAAAATCATTAGATTAAACTGATTATCTAAACATGAAAGCATTACTGAGTCTAATTAGAGGACATTCTAATAATAACCGTCTTATTCTGACATTTACATCTGTTTCACGAACACGCAGCTTGATTAGTTTTTATCTGTCGTCCAAGCTTATACAGTACATAAAACAAGTCGAATTAGAATGGTAATTGCAGCTAAATAAGTTTCCATTATGTTGTTTGTTTGTCTGTTTTCCAACTGAAAAATGGCAAAATCCTGAGAAATGGGTAACTGGAAACATGTTTGTAGGTGTAATGTCAGCAGTCATTATGGATCAAGCATGCTAACTGCTTTTGTCATAAACTCTAAAAAATGGGAACGCACACCTTGTACGCTATGCAAATGCATTCCTGAACGATTCGACAAAAGCAGCAACAGTAATACAATCAAGCCTCACCTGAGTCAGGCATGCAAATATAAGACATCTTATATTTCTTGCAGAAAAGCACCAGCACTCTCAAAGTTAAATTCAGGAAAGAAATGATTTTCAAAGACACAGCAGTGTTAGGCATTTGCTTGGAGGTAGGCAGATAAAATCTGTCAATATGAAGAGGATGACTAAACAATGATCAGTTTTCACTGTTGTGGTGTGGGCTGTGTCTGGAGGTGGCTCTTAAGACCATCACAGACCATGAAGTGCTGTATATAACTAATTGCAAAGTTTTGGTCAAGGTGAAATTCTTTTGATTTGTGGAATTTTGTGTGCACTTACATTATTCCTGTGTTTAACTTTTTTTAGCATAAAAAATGCAGGTGTGAATGATATTGATATTCTCCGTGAGTTAGTCTCTGTCTGCTGCACAAATGCGGTATTAGAAAATTAAGGAAAGACATGCATTGTGTTATATGACATATACATTATACATCCATTATCTGCCTTTTGTACAGCGAGAGGAAAGAGATGAGGATTGACAGCTGGACAGTTTTACAGTAAAGCTGCAGTAATTCAAGTCTGAAAATATTAATTTCACAGCAAATAACACCAGGGTCATACCATACCTGCCATATTACATCAGGATCAAAACAGAAAGGCGGGGCTGTGCTCTGCAAAAATTATACAACATGCATTTCAGTACTTACACTGGATCATTGCGGGTAAAACAATGTATGAACCTACTGTAGGACTATTTTCCACTGACACTTCTTATAATATGCACACTGTAATTCGGGTTGAAGAGTTTTAGAAAGAAAGAATTCAAATGTTATGCCCCAAAAAAGAGAAGAAAAACTCTAGCTGAGGATAGGCATTACATTCTACCAGGAAATGCATTTTTCTTTTGCAGTATAACATTTGAAAGTAAACATTTAGTGTAAGAATTTGATATTTTACCTATTCCTCCAAAATATATTAAGCTCGCTGGAGCCTGACAGATAAGAGGTGTATACTTTTTTAAATACACAGGGCTGTAGTCTAAGATTGTCCTGTATCAATGGTGAAGCATCTGTCTCTCTGAAGAATGGCTTCTTTTTGCAGACTTTTGAAAAGTCTGTAGCATTAAGAAAGGATTACTCAGCTGGAATCCCTCAAGGTATGTGTGGTACAGTACTGTATATTGCATTTTGGCCTCTCGTGAAAGTCATATTCTTGTTATTAGATAAACACAGCCATCGCTGAAAATCCAAAAGGGTAACAAACATCATTAAAAAAGCTGACATTTGAACCAAAAACAAGTATGTCATCTCCATTAAAAATATCAGTACTGGATGCATAAGGAGAGATGTAGAATTTCTTGTACTTAATCTAAAGTTTGAATTCTGCCAGTGATTTCACCTGCTATGGTCAAACACAATGAGTTAATATTGGCTCTGAAAATGTATGCTGACTCTTACCACACAATTTAATCTGCGGCTGGTTTTAAAACTTTCAAGACTTTTCCCTAGTGCATGCCTGCACTCTGTTCTGTCCAAAGGGCAGCAGCAGACAGCCGCTGAAGTCAGACACAGAACCAAATGTAAAGCTTTATGCCATCCAAGAGGGAAAATGAATAACAGAAAACCCACTGGTTTCCAACCGAAGAAAATAGCAGGAGGGTGTCATTTCAAATAAGTTGTGCCTTTCTGGTTGCTTCGGAGGAGAAATCTGTGGGTGTGTTTGCCTGCGCGGGTTTGGTTAATTACTACATACTGTGCACTAGTTGTTGCTTCACTGAGCATAACTGGTTCCTTTTGGCTGTAAGCAGATTTAGAACGTATGTTGAGGTACTGTACCAGTTGGATGATGTTAGATTCTGGAAACATGTTATTGCATTTTACACGCGCACTGTCATAGGTTATGGGTCTAATATCCCCATTTGCCAATAACCCTGGCTCCATGAAATTAGCATTTATTAAGGGCCAAAAGTTGACATGAAACCCAGTATTATGGACCAAATGGAACCCTCAAGATTCTAACTACAGCAAGGGTGTTGTCATGGAGACCGCATCCTGTGACATCTGTAAATACACAAATCAATGTTGATCGCACAACCTCTCCTCTCAATCAACCACAAATCGATGGAAACCGTAGAAGGTCTTCCATGTGACCATGTGATTCTTGGATAACAACGAAAGGGACAAAAAAAAATGAGCAAGAAACTTTAGAAAAAAATCCCTCTGAAACCAATACGTATAAACTTTTCAACATGTGCAAGTCCACAGCTGATGGTTTTTTTTTTTGGGGGGGTCGTGACACCAACATCAAAAGGCTGAAAAGAAAAGGAATACTTCCACATGTAATGTTAGTAACAAATTGAATAATGTTTTAGATTAACTAGCCCGTTGTGATTTTCTGTGATATGCATCCAGCTTTCAATCCACTTCAAACCAAAGCATGCAAAGTATTTAAATAAGAAACAACACTTGTTACTGGAGTGAAGTTTAAAATGTCTATTCTCTGGGCAAAACGATTAAAATAATCTTTATTGCATATTTGTATTGCATTCAATGACCAAGAAACTTTTAGGTAAAGCTCTGCTTTCTCAAGACATATTCTGATATGGACTACTGTACAACATGCAGCTGTGAAAATGCTACTTTTTTCAGAAATGGCAAACTCAGTATGACTGAATGTGTACAGTCTGGAACTGAAAAACAGCAGCACTGGGAGGATTAAAGAGCTGCAATGTATTGATACCAGAAAAATGCAGCACCTAAAGAGTGTGCACACTGCAAGGCAGTGTTACAAAATGGTGTACCATCTGATCATTTCCGAAGAGCTACAACACTTGGCAAAGATCCGATTGCATTCCCGTGAGAAGCTGATATTAAAGGGAATCTGAAATCAATAATTCATACAACAGCAATGGGAGGAAACGGATCCGATGCAAGAAGAAAAGGCACGTTGTTCACCTTTGACGGACAGCAGTTAAGAGCCATTTTTTAGCCAACAAGCTCACAGACACAAAAATGCACAGCACAAAAACAGCATGCAGCATCACAGGTGTTAGAGAAGCAGCACGTGAATTTAATTGCAAAGCCAAATCCAAATCATTCGGCAAAAAGGGTTCTATTTTACAGACCTACTGTAATTCCTCAAACATAAAAAGGACAGTTAAAAACGACTTTACAAACACAATACTGCAACTTCAGTGAAGCTAATTATGCAAAGACAATCTGATGTCACCTTGTTAGAGAGCTATATAATGCACAGCAATAACAACACAAAAGATCTCCAACATGCACGAGAGCATTCAAAGAGGCAGTGACACTGGCAGTTAGATTAAGGCTGCAGGCGCACTGACTGATAAGGGCCTTACCTTCATTTCAATGACTGTCTGAAGAGCCTTCGTCTTTGCAGGTTCCTGCTGAACTTGGTTTCTTCTGTGCAGTTCCTGTGGAGGGACCCGATAGAAGTAAGCTTGTCGGCTCATGCTTCCATTACTTTCAGTTAAACACAATGGATGTTATCTCCCTCCCACACGCTCCAAGATGCAACAGGAAGGGCTTGTTTGGCATCTGCAGCTCCACAGCTACAGTAGGGCCTGAAAGCTACAGGTGCATCCTTTCATAAGCTCTTTTAAGGATTGCTGCAGTCAGTATCTTACATTACAACAAATTCTGCAGGCACATGCGCTATTTGTGAACCTCTATCAATAATTAATGTCAACGGTGACACAGACAGTGAGTAATCATTCAGTCCATTTAATCATACACTGCCGACTCCTCTTCACCATGCTAAAATGACATATTTTCTTACATGCAATAAAAATTTAAGGGCTCCTACTTTTGAAAGCTACAACATAAAGCTGCAGCTGCATGAAATGATTTAACCATACGGCAGTCAAACATGGTTTAGTAATTTGTACACGCAATGCATATACAATAATCCGCAAGGGAGCTTCACTGATACTGAAAGGGTTTACTGGAATGGAACAGAATAAACAAATTGTGGAATAGGTCATTAGAAATGAATCTAATTTGTTAATGATAGTCCCACATACCTGTAAAAAAACACATCAACATTAAATTAGAATTTTGGTTTACTGAAGATACTACTCTATAATACATTTTGCCATGCTATCAACTTTTAATTATTTTCACATGTACTACCAGTACCTTTTATTCTACTGCTTTTCTTCTAATCAGGAATTTGAATGGCAGGTGCACTGCAGGACCGTGCCTTTGAAAGTCCGCAAGACGTAGAACACACCTTATTCCGAAGGGTGGAATGAAGAGAAAGAGAAGTGAATGGAAAACAAAATGGAAAAATAAAAAAAGGAGGAAGTGTCTGCGAATGCAGCAGTTTGGGAAAGCAGTCTGCAGGAGTATCATTCTCTCAGGGATTCTCTTAAGGGGTTTAGCACCCTGCACTTTCTCAGGGGGCTAAGACTGGAGGTGAAAGCTGAAAATTCAGCAGAGCTTCTCACAGTAATGCATGGGTCCTTCTACTTCTCCCATCTGCACAGCCACCTACTGTATCAATACTGTAGCTTTACTAATGCACAGGCTCTAATAACAAAAGGTGCATTTATAGGCAGAGGCTCACACACAGACAGCAGTGAAACAAACAGCAGTGTTTTCAGATCAGAGCAGTTTACAGTCCACAGCAGCATGATGAATAAAACATGTGAGTGTGTCAACACAGTCTTCCACTTCAATAAGACAGATCACGGTGCTTGGGAAAAGCCGATCCTTTCAAAAACCAGGGGGGAAAGTCATCAATAAATAACACGAGCGTTCATGGAAGCTCAAAGAAATTTCGACATGTTCTCTGTGTTCATGTCAGACATGGGCAGTAACACGTGCACGCGCACTAAGGCAAGCTGTGGTGGAAAATTAGCTGAGAAGAGGATTTTTAAATTTTGATGCAGGACAGGGAACGTACATGGCAAGCAAAGAGTAAGAGTGCAAAACACGTAGTGCCTCAGCTTCAAATGTCTTATAAAACGTGATGTTAAACACATTTTTTATTCAGGTGATATAAATAGGTTGCATACAGTACTTGGTGCTTCTGCCACTTGGTGCTTGTATCAAAGTGGACAGGCACCACACACACAATGCAGGATGCATAACTATTCGTTCACAGAATAAGGGCCAGAAAAATAATCACTTGAGAAGTTCTGGAAAATACAAATTGACGCAATTGAATCTGACTCGCACAAATTCTCTTCGCAAATCCCAAAAAACTAAATCTGCGTGAGATTGCGTGGAGCGTGCCAACTCTGCAACAGGAGATGAGGGAGACGGGATGGCTATGCACCACGTCAAAGTATTTCAGGACACGGACTCTTCATCATTTCCAATTCGCTTCCATTCTATATGGAGGCACAGTGATGTTTAAGAAAAAAACTGAAAAATGTAACGATGAAAATAATAAAACGTCAAATCCTTAATGAGATGGCATTCTGAAAACTCGCTTTTAAGCCGCCTATGTGCTGTACTTCATCCACTCAAAAGAACCGATGAGTTACAGACAAGCGTATATTGAGGAAAGACAGCTGAGCTGTGTGACGCAGACCGGCGACAGCTGTAACTGCTGCGCGGCGTGCGGCCATCATCGCCCCTGCTGTCACACAAGGCACACGAGCTGGCATCTAAATGAGGTGACAGTTCAGTACAGCGACACACGGGAAAATTAACGTAAATTCCTAGTACGTAAAAATGAGCCGGGGTCGGGTTCTTAACAAATGCAGCAAACACCATTCACAGGACCACTGCTGCGGAAGGTGCCTTTCTTTCAGTGGGAACACAAGGAATCCCACTTCCTGTTTCGTTGGCCTGCAAGGGGAGAAGAGCCGTTTTCACTGGGTGTGCACCTGGCTTTTCACTCAGGTTGGTATTTGTCATTGGGCTGACATCCCAACAAAAAAAAAAAAAAAGCCCTGCAGAGGCCCTCTTTGTGACTATGAAACCTAACCCTCACTTGGAAGATGTTCCTGTCCATTAACAGCTTATCATAGACCATCAAGATAGGATCGTCCAGTGTCCCCTCATTTACTTAATTAAGCTGTCATGATGTGCCAGGGAAATGGTAAATGCAGTGACAAAGCTGACTCTACGTCGTTAAAAAAATGTTGCCGGAATTCCAAATAAACTAGAGGTCAGACAAGCCTGATGCCACGGTGCGTAACCTTTGACTCTAAAGTGCACAGGCCAACTTTAAAATGATCTGTTGCTTCATAGGTTATTGAGCAGCTTCTTAAGTGCAATTTACTTGCTTACTGTTGGGTGAATATGTAGAAAAAACAGAACATTTATGACCATTGCTTGTCAAACCCTTTATGGTATTCTCTAGATAAACCCACACTGCGATGAAAATCTTTTTTTTTTCATCAAAATGTCCATGGACTCAAACACACCACAGTACCAGCATTTATAAAACATTAAAAGGAAGGTGTTATGTAATATCTATTATTTTAGCATGTAAGCACAGTGATTTCTCTGTAGTTTTTTTAAATAATCTCAAATAGATAAATCAAGCAAGAAAGGATTGGAAGAACCCAGAGGAATCCAATTTACTACTGTACACTCGTTTCTTCTTTCTCAAATCGGATCTTAACAAAACATTTTTGAGCTTAAGCCAGGAACTACAAGCTACTAAACCCTTTTGTCAATTGTTCCAGAGAGTGTCTTCTGAGTAGAGAAAGCGTATTTAAAAAAAAAATATTCCACTTTGAAATTTGGAACGAAAAAGATTTACTATTCAGCAAGCAGAATTCTAGGCCTTTTCAGACTTCAAAGCCCATGCAAAATGCTGTAAGCACACAGAAAAGTCAAGTTCACACAGCATAATCCCTATTGTGCAGAAAGTGTTTATTTTAAGGAAAGACTAGATCTGAGGAGAGATCTATGACAATGGAACCAGATATGGTTTAATGCTACATGTAAATAGGGTGTGACAGGATGGAGCAAGGTTCACTGGTAGATTTTCAAACAACCGCAAGCTTCTGAACAGCTCAGCTTTACTTTTAAAGTCTAGTTCATTTATACTCTCCAAAAAAATAATGCAATTTGTTGGACCTTGACACTTGTAGTCCCATTAGGCACTGTACTTAGAAATGCACCGCTGACACTTGGAACATTCATAGATTAGATAAGGAAATATTATATTTAAGGTTAATTTTCTCAGGGACAAATGCTATACTATATGAAAAAGGAAATACATCACTAAGCACCACAAGCATATTGCAGTGTTATCCCACACTTCTATTTTAGTGCATTTAAAACTGAGAACAGGAGGCACTTCTTTACACAAAAGGTAGTGGGAGTGTGGAACAAGCTACCCAGCCATGATGACGGCAGAATGGTTTGTTTCAGGAAACTGTTGGATGAATAAGCTGATCAATAAGCTGCTACTGTAACTTCCAAATGAGCTAGATGGATTGAACAGCCTCCTCTCATTTGTAACTGCTCTTATGTTTTTTTTATTCTATTGTTCCTATCTACAGGAGAACACATTAAACATTAAAGACATTAAAGTGAAAAGGGGACTTTCGCATACACAAATAGCACAGGCTTTTCTTTTGCCAGATGTATTGATTTAAGAGCAAAAGGCAGAGACAAAAATAAATCTTGAGTTATTATATCCTGATAAACCTTTATGCCTGAACATTCTTGGAGTTCATCAGTCCACAGCTGGTGTGTGTTGCCAAACGTGCTCGAGGCCACTGGCACCAAGCATACAGTGTGGCTTAATTACACCTCAAAGGCTTTATTAACAGTGATCGAATGCAATGAATCAAGCATCATTTTTTTCAGCGTAGTTTTACCCCAGACACTAAAACATGCCTTGTACCAATTACAGGGACCACAGCAGATGCCACAAACATCCCCCTACAGTTTAATATATATATAAAGTGAGGCAGCTCAAATATTGGGTAAAAGAGAAGGAATGATAATTAGAAACAGCTTCTTTAATAAGTGTGCTAAGAAATGGAGGACCACTGAACTGAATACCGACAGAGCCTTCCTCCAATGTGTTTTGTAAACTGAGGAAGAAGCACAGACATGCAGTGATGCTGATCAGCTCAGCTAGAATGAATGAAGAAGTGGCACGTGATACTGGACCCTACACCATCCTCTCATTTCCCCGGCCCTTTCAGTTTTATGTACATGAACCCATTGACCAGAATCTTGGAACTTCCAGCTCCCAGGTCCCCCTCGTCCCCAATCAAACATCTCTCTCAGGGGCAGACAACGCACGGCTGGCTTCGGGAGCAGGGAGCATATTTCCATGACCTTCCCGGGATCTCAGTCCTCTTCAAAACCGCAGGAACCGCTCGAATCTGCAGTTCAATCCCACACACCATCACCCCCCCATCTCAACCTCACTTCAGCGGGGTGCTGTTCTCCAAATGCAATAGGATAGAGCTACAGTACACATACTTTAAAA